TTTTTAATGAAATTTACGTACCCTCTGTTCGTCAAATCGCACACATTAATATGTTTATTGTATTATTTGCATAACAATGATTTATTATTAAAGCCAAAAACTTAATTGAAATGCGTTGCAAGTTTCAAAGCTTTAACTTTGCTGAATAAAAAGTTATCGCATTTTGAGTGTCAAAGATGTCTTTTTTCGGTCACAGAATTTTGGAAAATATTTACTAAGGCTATATAAGGAAAAATTCTGACACTAAAAATGCGATAACTTTTGTTCTACTTAAGATAGAAAGATAAAATAGGTATCAATGGAAAGGAAATACTGAGTCCTTTCTAATGATATAAGTGTCATTAATATATAACAACTTTGAAATTTTTAGTGTAGTACCTATCATTACACCTGACCATAAAAAATAATAGATAATTATAAGGTAAGCTACAGATTTGTCATGAATGCTATGTTTAAAAAAAACATTAGCGTTGACACTCCTAATGCTTTTGTTTCTTGGAATTTAGTTGGGAGTGTAGGCATATTTAATTTAACTATTAGTAATACTATTAGGGTAACTAATTCTATCATCATACTTAGCCTGAGTCTTACTCTTAGACAATAACTATATGCACAATTAAATTAAATTAAGTTGTTTTGTATAAAAAAATCAAAATGACCTGATAATGAATTGAGACTGCCTCCTCACGTCCACACCATAGACTATAGGGATATGCATAGTAATAAGAAAGTAATAACTACTAACCTTGAACCAGTATAAGTGAGACACTAACAACACAGACAATGAATGAATATAAATTATTACTATACGTATATTTATACTTGTTATCTGTTGTGTGCCAAAGTGACCAATGCCAATGTCCATACTATAGACTATGGCCCTATAGCCTATTACTATAGCCTATGGCCATAGTCTTGAATCGAATGAATGTGAGCTAACTTCTAGTCAACTTTATGTGTCTAATTAATGTTAATGTTGACGCATTAACTACACTAGAGTACAATGTTGAGTGTAGTCGTTGTCACCCGTAGTAGTGTATTTACATAAGTGTAACCAACAAAGTAACAAACAACAAACTCAAACTAAACTAAAACTCAGACATTTTTACGAAGCCTATTAGTATTAAATGTTTGATTTTAAAGGCTAACTGATTCAAATCCAAAGTTTAGTATCTAAGACATTGAAATTTAAGTGAATAAACATCCTACCTAGTTTGCTTTAAAAGTGTCCTATAATTAAAAGAATTACTCATAGGCATGTGTATGCATTGCGATTGTTCATTGTTGACTTTTACTACACTTCCTACAACTCGTCACCATTGTTTCCTTAGTCCTTAAGCAGTCAACAATATGTTGTTTTAATGATACTAGTTAAGCAGTTTAAAATTACTATTTATATAAATATTTTATAATAAATATTCATATTTATAAAATTAAGTTGGAAAAGTGATTCGATAAAAAAACAATATATTATAGAATGTTGTCTTATTACCGTGCTAAACGGCAGGTTTTAAGATGAAACGGAAGTGGAGTCATGGAAGCATAAACATTTTGCCAAAAAAGTTAAGTTAAACGTATTTAATAAACATTAAAAATAACTATACTATGCAATATTTGCATGTATCGCTGCTAAAACTTGCTATAAATTTATAATTTTGTAACAAAAAAGCACAGTGAAAAACTCAACAAAATTATGGCATTAAATGGAGAAAATGAGTTAAGGTCCAGAAAGATTGATGATAATCATCGACGACGACATCGACATCATTTTCACAACGATTGCCATTGCAGCTGCCATAATCACAGTCAAAATAATAATAATAAAAATCATGAAGATGAGGTAGTCTGCTGCATTTTAATTAATTTAGAGTTTAGACTGAATACAAGTTACTTAATCTACTTAAACTAAATTAGTGTCGAAAACAAATGTATAAAAATATTTCTCAATGATTAATAATAGTAATAGTTTTGTCTTGTAGATGATAAATTATAATCATTCAAATCTGATCAATGATGATGAATTTTACAATTAGTGGTTTATCTAGATGAAACTTGGGTAAATTTGGAGAAATAGCACCGTGGCCTCCATCTTGGTTGCATTGACCCACGAATTTATGTCCTAAATGTATCCCTAAAACTATCCTGAACCTTAAAACTAAATCTAAACCTAACCTGAACCTGACGCCTGACTTATCCCTAACCAGTATTTTGACAATATCAGAACCAGGGTTTTGATCCTATCGGAGCCAGGGACAAAGCATGCAAATGACGTCAGGGTGCTATCTCTCCAAATTAGCCCAAACTCAAACCTGGATAGACCAAGGTCAGGATTTTTCACTATTTAATAAGGCTTATATAATTCTATTTTATAACCTTATTTCAGAAGCAGATAATCTGTGTCTGTGGCCATTGCAAATCTTTGAAAAACCACCAAACCTATCATGATGGAAAATCTAAAAATTCCAACCTTTCTTCTGATAATGAGAGTAGTACATCTTCAACATCTAATGCCAGACAAGTTATAAAATACAAAAAAGGAGTCAGGGTTCTTGTAAATGTAAATGGATCAGTTTATCATTCGAAGCAAGCTAAGCAATTTCCTGGTGCGTATAATGGAGTATAGTATTCTAAAAACTGTTTCAGTACTAATTTATCTCCTGTCTGTAAACTTGTATGGCTAACTCGTAACATATTGTGGGGGTACAAGAGGGATGGTTGCCCAAGGCCAAGGCACACAGTTTTCAGGGGCAAAAATAAAATTCAATAGAAAAAAAGAAGGAAGTAAAAAGATTTTTTATTAATAATTTATAATTAATTAAATGGTAAGGTTTCAATGCTGGCTTGGTGAAAGAGACCTCAGTGAGTGTGTATTTATCATTTTAATGTTTGTAGGCAATTTTTTGTAAATTTCTTCATTAAATTGTACTTGGTGTAATAAGTCACAATTTTATTTTCTAAATTCTACTGATCTCTGTAAGTCAATTTAAAAAAAGTTAGATGTACATTTCTTTTCCAAATTTAAACATTCATATTTAATTTTTATGGGGCTCAAGACTTCATCAAACCATTCATAAGTGATGCAGAATATAGAAAACTTTGGGAAATGTGATACATATCTTTTGCACAATTTTCAATTAAGGCAAAAACCAATAAATATTTTGCAAGGATCAAATCTCCATAGGCTAATTTTTATCTCAGATTATTAATTTGATTGTGTTGAACTTATTCTGGCATTTCGTTTCCTTAGAGACATAAAATATTCTATACTTATAGCCTTACTTATCTGCATATGGTTAGCCTAAAAACGCTATTCCCATGTGTACCCCTTGTGCATCATCTATTATATCTAAGGTTGCACAGTTAAGTTTAAAAATGTCTTGATAGCAAAGTAAAACTTGTGTAGACAAATTGTAATGCACCTTTGAACGGAACCATTGACTCTGATTGCTTGCTTTGAGCTATTTATCCCATCTTATTTGTGATACACACACAGTACTTAAAATGCAAAATTTTGTTTTATTTATTTTACATGACATAAATTTTCCTAAAATCACCCCCTCTGGTATCTCAAATGATCCCTGCCACTGTTCCTGCATGGAACCCGCACCCCTTCAACCCATACAACTTCCAAGAAACTTGACAACCACTTTTGGGAAATACTTATTGATATTGACATCACTCTTTTTTATTCTACCTTGTATATCTTTTGCTATCTAAAATTACTTTTGCATTTAGGCTTTCATTGTTACAGTAACAGTTACAGTTATTATATCCAAGTGGATGATCTTAAAATATGTATATGGTTTCCTCAGGTGTTGTTCAGTATGTTGGCTTGTCAGATGAATTGTTAAAGGCACCTAGGTCAAAGGTTGGGATTAGTCTCTATGACAATGGTATGTATAAGAAATTTCTTTTTTTTAAAAAATACTTCTTTTCACATCTCTGTAAAGAGTAATTAGTCAATAGGTAGAGTATTGTTCCATTCATTGCTAAATCAAAACATTCTTGGTCACATATGGACCTAAAACAATGTGACTGACTTTCAAAGCTTACTTTCCTACACACCTAACTTTTTCTAATTATACATTTTTTTCCAACACAAATAGTGTTCATGAATACTGTTATTCTTATTGATTGCCATTATTTTGTCATTTTATGTTTTTGATACAAGTCTACTCCACTCATAATGGAGTCTACAAAGGAAAAAGATATTTTTTCTGCCCTAGAGGCCATGGAGCAATGGTCAATCTTACAGATATAAAACTTATGCAGCCGATAGCACCAACTCAACCACTCACTGGCAATCCAATGTTTCCAAGCTATAAGGAGGTGAAAAAAATTAGGAAATTGCGTCAGCAAAAGTAAGTTTTTATGTAAAATGCAGCTTATGTGATTTGAGATTTTGAAAGTATTGCAATAAAATTCTCCTTCTCTCTGGTTATTCTGTTCACCTCAACTTATGTTCAAGAAGATGTGGTTTATCTTGAAAAGCAATCAAAATAATCACTAGTAAAAATAACAATGCCATTTGGGAACTTTATTTTCTTTATTTAGTTTCTGGAAAAAGTAAAATTTAGTAAAACTACCATCTTTAGTGTCTGCATCAAAGTCTATAGCAGAGGTCAGCAAGCTCTGGCCTTTAGGCCAGATACAGCATACCTTGTATTCCAGTCTCGCCTAATGCCCACCTGTTCTTTTTTTTTTTTTTTGTTGCTTTCAGCCTAAATGAATTGTTGCCATTTTATCCCCTTCATTACTGCTGCTTGCAACCTAAGAAAGCAAGCTCTGGCCTTTAGGCCAGATACAGCATACCTTGTATTCCAGTCTCGCCTAATGCCCACCTGTTCTTTTTTTTTTTTTTGTTGCTTTCAGCCTAAATGAATTGTTGCCATTTTATCCCCTTCATTACTGCTGCTTGCAACCTAAGATGTGTCCCTTGTTTATTTTAGAACTGATGTCAGGCACTTGTATGAAACAGACGCACCTAACCTGTTGTGTTGCAAACAAGTTCACTCTCTGGTCTCATTTTCATTCGCCTCTCACCAGGGTCAAGGCAGGTGTTGTTCACAGGTGTGTGCACTTTGGCATGCAAAGCAATTCCAAGAATGAAGAATGGGAGCATGACAATCATCCAAATAGAAAACTCAGCAATTTTATTTCCCTCACCTCACAAAATTATTTTTTACAGTGGGATGCAACCCTCATTGAAGTCAGTGTGCTGTTAACCCTGCGGAATGAATCCTCTTTGTGCTTCAGTGATATGCATTCTCATCAGCAAGAGTTCAAGATTGTCAGCACTCCTTTTGACTTTCCCTATGATGGCGCCTCATCTGATGTGCAATAATTGGAATTGATTGATCTGTACTCTTCAGATGTTCTCTTGTCCAAATTTACTACTTGCATCACTTTCAGTGCTCAGTTTCCAATGTTGTTAGAACATGCCAGTCATGTGATCACAATGCTTGGCAGCACTTATTCTGTTGCTGAACTCCTCATCATTAGAACCTGATATTAAATCTGTCTCTAAGAACATGTAACGTCATGTTTCCCATTAATAGTACCTTATTTTTTTATATTTTTTTTTATTTTCCTTGGGCACCTTATTTCTTCTTGCCTAGTGTGCCTCCTTGACCCCCTGAAATGTCCTAATGGTTTGAAAAGTTGCCGACCTCTGGTCTATGGCAACACCACAAAATGATGTGTTCATAAATAAATAAAGTTTGTCTAATTACATTTTAAAAAGTCATAGTTTTGCATTAACATTTCTAGGTTTACAAAAAAATTACACACATTAGTGATTACAGACATTTTAAAAAAATTTGTAATAATGAATTTATTATGGTGTGATAAACCTGAAATAATAATTTAAAAACTCGAGATTTCTAAGCAAAGTTAATAATTACATATTTATGAATATTTAGAATTGAGGAAGCTGAAGAAAAACTTCGAATAGAGCATCAAATGAAGAGAAGAGAACAAATGGAGAGATTCTCAAAATCTGCCCCACAGCCTAAGATTTCAATTCACTCAAACAAGGCCAGTAAATTGAGAACAGAAAAGCCTGGACAAAGTGAAGATGATATTGAACTACAGGTCAGTAAAGTCTGCAGAGTTCTTGCGTGGGAGCAATACTTTTTAAATAATTTCATTTCAAAACAATCATAAACTTCCTTTGAACTCTAATTTTTTTATCTATTTAACTCATCTCAAAGATCTTTTTGTTTATATGTTGAAATTAAACGTATCACTATATTATTTAATTCTATAAATTGACTTTTAAAATAAATTAACAGTATTATCAAGATGTTGAAAGACTTAATCACATGAAGTTGGTGGAACAAGAAACATCGGAAAGACAATTACTGAGGAAAATGAAGAAAGTATTTGGAGGGGATGATAAGGCTGAGAGAATGGCTCAGACTTTACTTAAACTTCATCACGCATTTGAAGAGGGAAGAAGTTTAGATAAAACAGATTAATTCTTTAAAATATTTCAGACCTTAGAATAGAAAAATAAGGAGTTAGGTAGAAATATGTAATCCACCATGAATTAGCCTACTTTTTATTAAAATGAAATATATTTTGGGTCAATGTAACTTAAACATTTTTTTTTTCAATAATATGAGTATAGAATGAAAATTATTTGATGATTTCCAGGATTTTTTATTTTATATATTTATATATGAAACAGCAATTAGAATTTAAGAAGTTTAATGCTTGTCATACTTTTTATTTTTGTGATTTGCAAAATAATCTGTCTCATTAAATTATTAATAAAGTGAATGTAGTTATGATGATTTTTTGTACCTAAGATTCCTTTCTGAGCAATGTTTCTGCATTGAAGTGTAAATCTGATAATTATTATTATTTTATAAGTGGTGGTTTTATATAGCGTGGTGCCCCAGCCTAGGGCAGAGCTTACCAAGCTGTACATACATTTTAACAAACATAATCATGAACTTAAAAATTAACATACATTAATTAAATGAAACAAAACAAATGTATATTCAAGTCCTTTTGTAGACAGTTCTGACCCTGTACAGTTAAAATATTTTTCATGCTGCTTATGGGGCCCACCAAGTAAATTTTGTGTAGCATACTGGATGTATCATAAATGAAATTCTGTTACCTTCATAAAATTTTTGTAGAAATATATTTTTTTAAGTTAAGTTTGAGAAATATAAAACATCTCACGTAAATTTAGTTTTTTTTTTAATAGTGTTGTTATTTTTGCATTTCATTATGTGTATTAGTATTAAGAATAATTAGCAGAATTTATTCAGTGTATGTTTTGTTTGTGAGGTTTAATCAAATGCAGCCCCAAAAGTTAACAGGGTATCAATATTGTAAATGAAGCTATTTGGGTTGGCCACCCCTGGTTATATAAGAACTACCATAATGTTTAAGGCACAGGCTAGGAACCATGATCACAGCTATAACTAACAGATTGTTAGTGGGGTGCACTCCTAAATGATAGGAACAACACAAACTATCAAAGGAACTGTTCCAAGACAACTTTTTTTTTATCTCAGCTCTCATGCATTAGTATAATCCTTCCTGTAGGACAAGCATCTATGCCCCAGGGTAAGAAGGGGTTTAGCCTAGGTTTTGATAAAGTTTCTACTCCAATCCTCAAAGAAGTTCAGACAACATAGGAGTTAGGCTTAAGAGTGCATCCAAGAGGTGAGGGGGTACACATTTGTTATGCATATGGGCAAAAGCCTTTAGCTTCTGTGCCAACTGATCCTTTCCTGACCAGGGATTTGGTAAAGTGTGGTGTCAACTGGTGTGTATTGTGGTCAATGATAAGTTTTGTGCCTCTGTAAGATATACTATTTGAATTGCAAAGATCATTAAAAATATCCAGCTTTAAAATTTTATGTCGCGTTATGTCTGAATCCAATGAGCCAGACGAAAAATTTCTTATTATGGTTTTTGGCAGATTATGTTTTTATTTTTTTAATTTACTTTCCTCATATTTATAATTGAACTTATGTAGGTTTTATTTTTTTTTCTCTCTTTCTTGACATGTTTAACATTTAAGTTTAATTGTTATTTTTTCACAATGTTCCTCATAATGCCAAAATTATTGAACAAGCTATTGAATTGATGAATTTTAATTTGTAATGAAAGCTCATTTTATCTGAGCATCTTCAACATTTTGATATTGTTTCTAAACAAAAAAAAGAACAGCATTATTCAAATAATAGTGAGACAAGAGAATGAATCTAGTAAGTTGTGTAAAATAAATGTGTTGTTAATTTTGCAAAAAACAGTTTTTTTTTATTTATTGTAAAGAAATATTAAATGTGTTAAAGTATTTATTTCAATTGTTACTTCTTCATGTTTTTTCCTGTCATTGAAATCAAAACTCTTGCATTCTCTGTTGAGGGGCTGAGCTCAGTCGATATTTATTTTTATACATGGGCCTTTGCATCAGCCAGTATCACATCTGCTGGCCAGTGCCATACAAAATTAATTTAACCGAGGATTCCACAGATCACTCATGATTAAAAATGGTTGAGTTTTTCTGTGCCACCAAGTTAGGTCAATTTTGAGGTCTAGTCCAGGGGTTCCCAAAAACAAAAGATTTTGGCTTGGTGCCATTTGGCTTTTAGGATTTCCAAAGACATCCAGAACATTCTGCACACTTGCATGGCATTGGTGTGATTAGATTAATTAAGTGGTTGTTTTTAAACTCATGAAGTATGTATTTCAGATTAACACAATATATATGTAAAAAGTAACAAGTACATAATTTAAAAAATCATATTATTGAAGAGTGAGTTTGATATATAAATAAACAAACATGAACAAAGAAAATACATTTAATTCTTAAAAATTTTTTTTATTTCTATAGCCTTTACCAACAAAGTAAAAGTATTAAGTCTAACAACAAGAACAATGTGAAAACCCTGGTATGTCAGAAAATTTGAACTAAATCTTATCTTGGAAGTTTTCCCCAATATTTTCAGGTTCAGACAGAAAGAAGCTTATTGAAATTTTCCACCTCCATCTTCTATTTCAAATGTTAGTATCTAAGAATGTGGTGTAAAACTTCATTTTTGTTGACAAGCTCTTTATTTTAAATATGACGGGAACTATATAAGCCTTGGTGAACATTAAAATGTTAGCAGATGTTGAGATTTAAAACAAAAAAATTAAAGAAAACAAAAATTTCTATTAGTTAAACAACAATTTCATTTTAGACAGAAATATAAAAAAATCTTACATTCAATAATTACTCTGGTTCCATCCCCTGTCACTGAATAATTAATTTGTTCAAATTTCATCTAGTAATGTGAAAGTTTAGCTATGTATAATAATGAACAAAGCTGGACAAAATAGAAATGCCTAACGAATTAAAGCTGTGTACCCAGTGTTTAAGCTGTGAGGAAGCTGAATAAAAAGGGCTCAACGTGGATCATGCAGACAAACTTGGGCCAAGTTAAATAAAAACTTGTAAAAACAGAGTGGAGATTTTTTTAAATTTTCTACTATTAATATCAAACTGATTAGATTACTATTTATAATTAGATATAAATAAATTTAACACCAGTTATATTTAAAATTCCGTTCATATAATTAAAAAACCTAATAAAAGAAGAAGTATTTAAAAGTCAATAAACTATTAATGTAGCCAATAAAGGATTGATTAGTTCATTGTTTAAAAAAATAATTTTTTCTCTCCCGAGAATCATATTAATATTTTTGTTACCTTCATTTAATATTAGATCTAACACATTAATATATATTAAACATCTAATAAATGTAAAGGAGTGGTTATATATTTTAAAATATGTAGATATAGATATATATATATAGTTGTGAAAGAAAAAAGGTACAAATATGTGTTGTAAAATCTTTGATAATGCATCACAATATTCACAATTCAGCAAATATTTATAAATTAATAAATCAACTCCAGTGAGTTTATACCAGGGAATTTTAACCTTGGGTCTAAGAATAAAAGTGTAAAGGTCCTTTTTTAAAAAAAATTCAAAACTTTTTCATTAACTTGTTTTTTTAAAAAAAAATCCAATCTTTTTTTTTAATTTATACCCCCCCCCCCACCCCCCAAAAAAACCACCCCAAATATACACAAACCTGGTAAAATTTACATCACAATCTGTATGAAATTTGCTAATGGCACTAAACATCTTCCCATTCTGATTATATAATTTGTTAAACTGAAAAAAACAACAACATTTTACATAAGACAATTATGGGATTAATAATAACATATACTTGTGGAAAAAATCATTAGTAACATTGGGCCAAAACTTGTCATTTAAGTAACTTAACAAATCACATTTATTTTGACATGTTACCCTGAACAAAGAATATATATTTAAAAGTAACAATATGGAAAAATCTGTTATAAAAACACAGAGATACTTTCCAACTGTAACTTATGCTTTTTTTGGGTTTGTTTTTTGTTGTTGTTGCTTGTGGCAATGTATAAATGAAAATATATCACATTTAAAATCATCCACTGTTCTACCCTGCAAGGGCTCAACGATGCGACCTAGAATATGAAATGCCCTGAATAATTTCACATTAATAACAGATGGCATCAAAATAGAAAACGATAGGGTTTTATATGTTAGAGTAAAAACAAATTGTGGGAGTATTAAAGTTAGAGCAATTGTGTCTCAGTGTTAAATTAATACCAATTGTGTCTCATTGTAACAGCTAAGGAAATACATTTTAATACTGCCAATATCAATCTAGTCATTGGAACTCATTTTTTAAGTTTTGATAATTCTGAAAGTATTTTTGTAACAAGAAACTTGACTTGGCGACCAGATACTATTTTTTTTTTTTTTACATATACATCAAACAAAATAATGCATTGTGGACATATGTGTTATGCCATCTGACTATAATGAAGTCAATTAACAACCTTACAAATAAAATAAATGAAAAAAAATTTTGTATTAAAGGAAATAAATTTTAATACTGCCAATATCAATTTAGTCATTGGAACTTATTTTTTAAGTTTTGATAATTATGAAATTATTTTTTTAACAAGAAACTTGACTTGGCGACCAGATACTATTTTTTTTTTTTTACATATACATCAAACAAAATAATGCATTGTGGACATATGTGTTATGCCATCTGACTATGATGAAGTCAATTAACAACCTTACAAATAAAATAAATGAACAGAGATTTTGTATTATCAACAAATTCAACTAAATTAAACATTAATAACAAATAATATTACATTGCATTAAATCGATAACATGCACATGGTAATATCACTGTAACTAATCTTTGATTAGTAGCTATATTTTAAATGAACACATATTTACTAGAAGCTAATGGGTTAACATTAGCCTGTAAACTACACTGACAACAATTGGTTACATATTATGTATTGTTACATGTCAATTTTAAAGCTGATACTGGTTCTAAGAAATGCACATTGAATAAAGACAAAAGCAAACAAATATTAAAGAAATTGTGCTCTAGGTGGTGGTGTTCGGCTCTATGATGTCCTAACAAATCTTTTTGGTTTCATCATCAGATTCGGGGAGGAAATAAATGTTTACATTTTATTTCATCTGATAAAATCTGTTTGGTACACTCAATGTATTCCAGAAAGCATCCTCCCCAAACTTCTTGAAATTTTAAACTGCGAATGATCAGGCTAAGTCCGAAATTAAAAAGCTTGGTTGTTACATATAGAATAAAACTGCACAAGACATTGCATACAATTAAATAACAGTGTGGTTAACATTTTGTTGTAGTGTGCCATTTAAAATAAAAGGTAACATTTTTTTTACATAACACAATAATTAATTCTTCAAATACTTCTTTAGAAAAATATCATGAGCGTCGAAGAGTTCAAATAAAAATGTGATCGGCAATGACAAACAGGCAAATACTTTGTTCTGAAATTAATATAGTCTTTATAATTTAATATCCCACCACCAACTTAGTCTATAAACATTTCAGGCACACAAAACCTTCATCCAAAGCCCACACATGTTTTCAAGTTCAAAATAATTTTAGCGTGGTATTAATTTAATTCATAACTTATTATATGAAATGTATTTTCAAAATAGGACAATAATTATTACCAATAATATTTACCAGTACGTATTGGAAAAAATAAATTCTAACAAATACAAATTGAACCAAATAATGTTTTTTCTCATTCAATATTGAGCATATAAATAAAAATTTGAATGTGTTAGAAGTAATTTAAAAATGAAAACCATAAGAGTTTATAAGTGTAGACGGAGTATGTTAAAAATAAACTATTCAAAAAAAAGTGACAGATACTGATTACTCATTTCAAAATTAATAATGTCCCAGCTTTTGCTTACAAAATACTGTTACAGTTACAGCACTGATTAATTATCATTTTTGAACACAAATTACACAAAAAAAGTGAATTTTTTTTTTAATATAATACTTATGAATTAGATTTGTAAAGAGAAAAAAAAATGTGAGCAATCAAATGAAAAAATAAAAGCTGAGAGTTATTTTAAATGCATTGAACTGCAATATGGGCAGCCTGCTCAAAATGACACAGACCAAGTTCAAAGGCAGCAATAATACCTTTTCCATTGGAAGCAGGTGGTCTCACATCTTTAATACTCACAAAGCCTTAACCGTTCATACTATTGAATACTTTTCATTTAAATAAGATTGTGAATTTTTTAGTGTTTTTTTTTTTTTAAAACAGATCTGTTAAGAATTTTCAGTAAAGGTGGGTATTATGAGAAAATAAAATTCTTTCTATCTTCCACAAACCAATTTGACCCTTACAAAGTTACTTTTAATGTTTACTCTCTACATTTTCATATGTGCCCATCTTAAGCTGAAATGTGGGTCAGTAGAAATATTTTTGATCATCAATTTTTTTAGCATGTCTATTGAAAACTAAATTGTTTATTAAAAGTAACATCAACAGTTTAAAAAATAAATCTTACCTTGAGTAATAAACATTATTGAAACAAAATTTTAACCTTTTTTAATGCTGGGTTTACAGACAACAAAAAAAATTTTTGTTGTTATAATTGCTTATGATCTATTTTGTATTGGGATATAAAGAATTACAAACAATGAATACTAAATTAAAAATATCCCATAAAAAATACTACACAATAAAAAATGAGAAAATAGTTATAAATGAAAGAAATGAGAGTAGTTTAAATTTGTTCAACATAAATTATATGCTGCAGGTTATTATAAATTTAATATACTGAGTTTATCAAATTTTTTAAGACCTTTGAGCCAAAAAAAGGAACTGTATCTGAACAAAAAATATTGTGGACCTCTGGGGATCTACCACATTTTAAATAAGTGAGGGTAACTAACACCATGTTGGCCATCTGGAAAATTACTAATAAAATTGTAAAGAAAATTAAAATATTCTTAAGGATTCAATGGCCCAACATTGTAAGAAATGAAACACTCTGAGAACATATAAAACAAAAGACCCAGTGAGAAAGAAATCCTCCAAAATAATTGAAAGAGGATCGGTCACATGCTCCAAAAACCCAACGCAATCATTACCTGTCAATCTCTCATCTAGAATCCCCATGGCAAAAGGAAAAGAGGACCACAGAGGAATACCTGTATAAACAACCTGGATACAGACATACTGAAGATGGGACAAAACTGGGAACAGTTGAAGAAATTTGCCCATCATTGGGAAGTCTAGAAATCTCTTCTCACTGGCCTATGTCCCAGGTGGAACCACAGGCAAACATGATCTATACCAGGACTATATAACTTAAAGATCATCAATGTGATGCTGAGTTTGTTGAATGAGTTCATATATTAGCACACAAAAAAACAATATTAAGTGTAGGCACATTATTTGCTTGGACTAAATATATATATATATATATATGAATATTTTAAGTATATTATTTTATATTAAAAAATCTTGACTGATTTTTGACTAGGATTTCATGGTAAAATTATTGATAAGTGTACATTTTCAACAATAAATTCAACTCTTTTACAAGACATTAGTTCTTACAAATTTATGAAGTTATATCGCTTCATGTATGCATGACATAGAGAGAAAGATAGCTTCCTCAGGATTCATAACCAAACACATTGATGAAATAAAAACAACTCTGAGAATATTTGTTGCTTCTAGCTGTCCAAGCTATTGTTTCTTAATATATTAATACTAGGGTTTAACCGGGGGGGGGGGGCGCAGTTTTTTTTACACTGGGTCCAGTACATGTATGCATGACATAGAGAGAAAGAAAGCTCCCTCAGGATTCATAACCAAACACATTGATGAAAAAAAAACAACTCTGAGAATATTTGTTGCTTCTAGCTGTCCAAGCTATTGTTTCTTAATATATTAATACTAGGGTTTAACCGGGGGGGGGGGCGCAGTTTTTTTTACACTGGGTCCAGTTATTTTGAGAAAATAACCAGTGGGTCCAAGTGTTGCAAAAAATAGTTAACTTCTCATTTTCTATAATTAATACTGGCCCATAAACCTTCAGACATTCCTACACCCTACCTGCTGGCCTTTAAACAATAAGCCTACAGACAGTCCAACACACTACATGCCAGCCTTTAAACAATAGTCCTACAGTCTTTACACAGTCCTTACACCATACCCGCGGCACTTTATTGATTAATATAAATCATCTTCTTTTTTTCACTCAGTACTATTAATATAAAACATGTTGAATAAGACGAGGGCCGTTTGTGAAAAGGAAGCAGTACACACCAGAGACAAATTATATATAAATAAGAGATAATTTATAATGAATCTGCATAAACTTAACTTTTGAATTTTTTTATTTAGTATATTGAACAACATTTTGAATTGTAACATTCAATATGTTCAAAATGTATTGAACAAATCAAGCGATGTTATAGAACTAAATTTTAACTTATGACATACACAATCTCGTGTCATTAAAAATATTTGAAAGCACATGGGAATTTGTATGTTTAGAAAAAAATCTCATTCTAATTCATAAAACTGTGTCTGAGTCCGAGGTTATTAGGCCATTATTTTGTTGTTAACATAAAACCGCATTTGTTTCCTGCAACAAGTTATGTTTTTGGTCATGAAAAAAAAAAAAGGTAAATTTAAAATAAATTATTCAAATTTGATCCATGTCATAAACAACATTTGTGGGAAGTTAAGATCATTACAAAAAGCATCTGTAGAAGATGCGAGTTATATAAATATTGTTTACCTGAAACTGTAGGTAAGATTTTAAAAATGGAATTGTGGGTGTCAAAATGGACAAAAATGGATTTCTTTCTTGGAGATTAATAAACAAAAAATATGACATTGAAATGCATTTTAAAAAATTATACAATCACATGTACATCAAATGCAAAATAAGCATTAAAATGTAACATGCCTTGTACATTCCTTTTAAAACTTCATTTAAAAAATAACTTGAATTTTAATCACAATAATAATACATAATTTATTTCATAATTTAAATAAACCATTTTAAATTTATCATTTAAAATACAATATAATAATACATAATTTATTTCATAATTTAAATAAACCATTTTAAATTTATCATTTAAAATACAATATAATTTGTGTGGACATTTTCTTGTAAACTTTGATACTCACAGCTGATAACCTGTAAGTGCCATATAGATCAGTTAGAAAAGGGAATATCAACTTTTTAATTTGATACTCACAGCAGATAACCTGTAAGTGCCATATAGATCAGTTAGAATAGGGGATATCAACTTTTTAATTTGATATTTACAGCTGATAACCTGTAAGTGCTATATAGATGAATTAGAAAAGGGAATATCAACTTTAATTTGATACTCACAGCTGATAACCTGTAAGTGCCATAAAGATGAGTTAGAAAGGTGATATCAACATTTTAAATGTTACTTGGTGTTTTTTGGCCAGGAATCAAAATAAATCCATTTTTTTTCCCTGCCGTCTTTAATTTTGTTCATAGTGTAGATTCATGCCCAATTGCAGGTATTTCCCTATAACATCTAAAAGAAATAAAATTGAAAATCATTAGCTTTCAATCCTTGCGCATTTAGATGACCATTCAAATCATGCATTTAGATGACTTTTGTGAATTATATTTAGGGGTGTGAATGTTTGGCATGGAAAAGATTTTTTTTTAGAGAGTATAATATGGGTAGCTTAATCTATATGATGAGATTGTGTGACCTATTTGGGTAGGGAAATGATGTGTTGGTGTTATTGTTTTTTTTTTTTTTAGTGATAGTGATTTAGGGTTAAATTTTTCTGAGTTTTATTATATTTAATAAAGAGACATTTGACTCATGAAGCAAGGGTTTGTTGAGTGATTGTAACCCCTAAACAGCAAAGCTAATGAACTGGCAATGACCATTCAAATCCTGCATATAGATGACCATTCAAATTATTCATTTAAAACCATTCAAACCATGCATTTAGATGACCATTCAAATAATGTATTTATTTGACTGTTCAAATCATGCATTAGTTCTGACTCAGAAGTTGGATGATATGATTAAAATGAGAGAAGTCAGAAAATAATTTCAACCTATACAATTTATCCTGCTAAACTGTGAATAATAAGAGCCAAAGTATTTCAGTTCAATGAAGCTGATGCCTTATTTATCCCAAGTTTCACATAAATATTGAAAGTTATTCTGTGTACAAAAAAGATATAACCACTTTTCTTTTATCATTGTTTAGTGTAAGTGTTAATGATTAGAAGTGTAAAAAAAGATATCTGTAGTTTGAATCTTATAAACTGTTTTTTTTTTTAAATTAAATCTTCTAATCCATTTTTAAAAATACTTATCAGCCTTATCTCTAGACCTGAATACTTTAAAAAACACAATTTCCCTATAGCCTATATTTCACAATGTTGTTGTGAGTTAACATTTATTAATGAAATGAGTTTGGAAAATGTTTGCTTTACTAAAAATAAAAAAGCAATTTGTAATACCAAAACCATTATAACTCTTTAATTTATAATTGACAAACTGAAGGGTATAAAATACAAATGTTTTATATGTGTGCCAGATTTTTAACTTACCAACACTTCTGAAGAACTTGGCAGGTTTCTGCCATTTGATACATATGAAATACACAGGTATCCCAAGAGCAATAACCATTGAAACAAAGCCAAGCTCCATTGGTTTCTCAATGACAGACAAAATAATCAGAGCAACTGTTAAGATGGCAGCAAAAGCTGGAATTACCAGGGGTACCTAACAGGGATTAAAAAGAAAAATTAAAATGAAGAAAAATGATGTATGTACTTTATAAATAGTAATCAGTTGTGTAATGTTAAAATATTTCAAACTTCACATGTAGCAGTAGATGTATTTTATAAACCCTATTTAATGAGATGCAGGGGCTTAAAATTAAATAGCTGAATCTGTTTTATTGAATTAACTGAAGTAAAAAGCTTAATTTGTATTTTAACCAATATTTCAATAATATGTAATAATCTCCCTTTGATGTTCAAGCAAACTTCTATTCTTAATATGCTTAGAGACTTGGGGGTTAAGATATGAGATAGGGGATGCTACAAGCAGTGCTAGATGTATATTTTAATTTAAGTTTCACTATTTGTAAGATGAATTAAGAAATATGGTAGGATTCCAAGTAAGGCTCCAGGATCTTTTGAAAAATTAGGCTACAGAACACACATCAAAATTAAATAAAACTTGATGGTTTTGTTTTTTTAAATGTGCTATAGAAATCAAATGTTCCCCTACAAACCTTAATGGGGCGTGGTGCATCAGGAGACTTCCATCTTAAAGTGAACAAACACAACAGGAGTAAAAATATCATGCAACCTGAGTTGAATTAGAGAAATATGTATTAATTCTGTATCTTAAGTCAGTGTCTCTCTCTGGTCAGCCAAATTTGGAAAGATGCCACACAATATACTATTTATATCATTGGTAATTAAAAAATTGGAGAAGACTAGGAAAGCAATCACACATATCCTAATAAATAAAGTTAAAACTAACCCGATTGTGAAACAATAAAATGGGTTACACAGCTATTCCTGGCTTGTCATTTAAGCACTATTACAATGACATGTGAAGTGTGTAAAAATAGGAAGTTTGTTTGTTTGTTTTTTTGTTTAAAAGTTAAACTAAAACCATTACCCCCTTATCAATGTCAAATATCAATCGATTTATAGTAAAGGTTCTCATGTGAATTTTCTTGAGCATATAACCTTTATATCTATATTTTATAAATATGAGCATTAAAAATTAGATTTATAATCGGTAACTAAAAAAATTCATCCGGTTAATCCAAATCTAAAACAATAATTTACAAAATTCAAACAATGACTTACTGCCCATTTACCATACGAAGGCTTTGGCCTCAAAAGTGGCCAATATAGTTTTTTTATCAAGTGTCAAATATTTTAAGCAGAAGCTGTCAATAAATTTTAATTGTGAAATCAATTATCCAATAGTGACTTCAGGCAACTCTAATAGGTGTTATATATAGAACTGAAAAATACATTCTCGTGTATGTAAACATGTTTATGTGCATACAATTTTGACATCTTTTATGGTTGTTGTCACAAAAGATTAAACCTGTTACACGTTGAACCAAATAGGACAATGAACTAACCTGCATACAAACTAATGGCAGCGACAAGAGACATGACACTACCAGAAAACAACATAAGAATGCCAAGAAAACCCTGAAACATAATTTACAATATTGAGTTTAAATAAATCATAATGTGTAATCATTTTTTTAAAATTAAAAATAATTTTTTTTTAAAGTTTTATACTAATAATAGTCATAGTGTAATTATAATTATATTTTTTCCAGCCCTCAAAGAATATCATATATGTATCCATCCTTTCAGTTTAACATTTTATAAGGAGAAGATACTCAAAAATTTCAATTAAAAAAATTAATTTAACTAAGCTTCGCAATTGAATCCAAATTTAAATTAATTAGCATATGACTTCTCATAGTAAAGAAAGCAACTAATCCCCACAGATAAGAGCTCTGTTTTAAAATAGAAATGTTACTGTCCGAGACAAAAAAATAAATTTTTTATTGCTTGTTTGAAGATAAGGCCCCAAATTTCAAATAAATCTTGTAGTTAACAGTCATGGTTAACACCAAGGTAAATGTCGCTGTCTAAGATAAATAAATTATTTTTATAAAAGTGTTTCAACATCTGGCCTAAGGTTTCTAATAAATGTTGCAGCAAAAAGAAAAGGTAAATGCTGCAGTTAAAAGACATGGTTCATACCAAGGTAAATGTTGCTGGCCATGGAGTGTGAAACTTTTTATGCAGCATAGTCATTATCTTAGGCATATGTCGGTTACGACCAGCTGCAAAGATCATCCTAGATTTTGATTAACAATAAGACCATTAATTCAAATTTGAAGAGCATTATAAACATTCAATTTCAAATGTATACTGTTGTAATATCAATATGAGAGATACACAGAAAATACTTCAGATTTTTGTTATAACATTTGCAGCTAGAAGCAAAAGGTGATTCAAATAAAGTGTTCTCAAACTGTATGCTAAGTCAACAACAGTCTTTAATAATGTTTATTTTCTTTATAATTCATTAAAGAAAATACATATTACAAAAATAAATATTACATTACAACAAATTACTTAAGTCACATCCACATAATTTAACCTCTGAATCTCTGTCATTAACAAATCCAGGGGGAAAATGGTCTCCTGGTGAGGGTTCAAACATTTTTTTTTTTAATTAACATTGTATCTGATCTCAATTAAGATGGGAATGAGTTGGAAAGATTCAAGAGAATATTGCAAGAGTCAGGAAGGTGTGGAAGGATATCATTAAGGGCTTATGCTCTATTGGGAGTTGAGAAAGGTCTTCCATAAGTGTTTTAATCACAGTACCTTGGAAAAAAAAACAAATCTGCCAATGGTCTGTGTGCTTAACATGTTAGATGTATCAAAATAAGAGCTATGGCAAGCCAGACATATGTTTGCTTGATTCATTTGCCAATCAAAAAGTCAACATACGGAGATTATTTTAGCTGCTGCTTACATTGTTTACTTTCATCCTTGCACTTAGACTTAATGAAAAATAAACTACCTGAGAAATGAATCAAGACAGCCAACAGGAAGAATTAATCTAAAAAAATTATTATCAAAACATTGAGTGGTGACAGGGAAACATATTATCGGTACTTGTCTTAAAGCAGTGAATTTATGCACACTTGAAAGAAAAAAAACAGGATCTCCTCATGTTCATCTAGTAACTTTGCTTATTAAATACACATTTTCTAAAGTGTTGTTTTGTTTGGAGGGCTCCTTGATTTCCACTCCCCTTCCTTCCTTGTTTAAAGTGACAATCGTGGGCAACTTTTAAATCTACAATAATGTTCTGCGTGTATATAAATATATTACAGAGCTATATTTCTATCTAAATCTAATCATTTCAATATTTTTATGCGTTTGGTGGCAGGGGCACATGTGCTATTAAGAATAAATAAATGTGTACATCGTTTATTTGGTATTTATTTTCCATATTAGGTTTAATGACCTGCGGCATACAAAGAGTGAACTTGCAATCCAAGTGACATGTGAAGCCATTTGGGTTGACCATCCCTGCTTTAGGACATCCCCACAAAATTATTTAAGTTAACATATCAAGCTACAGAGAGGATCATTTTTAAAGAATGTCAATCAAGATTTAGCAGATTACAATATTGTAACATGTCGGTAAGTAGTGTCCCTTTCGTGTCTTACTTTGATGGATGATCAGATTGACCAGACATGTTTTGTGGCATTTAAGCCAATATTTAATGTGAATGGTGTTGTATCCACCAGACCTACAGCTACAGCTTAAATATTCAAAAAAAATTTAATCAGATGCTATTTCACTCTTCAATCAGAAACCAACAACTTCTGTTAATTTTTTCATTTATAAGGTATGCTCTCAACTAACTTCCGATCATGATGGAGAATATTTGTCCTTAGTAAAATATTCCCCACCCCTTTAGAAATTAATGATGTTCTGATTTTTTAAAAAGGTGTCATGCTCAGTTTTCAAAAAAGAATAAAAATTGACAAAGGCATATCCTATCAGCCATTATTGCCCTTGTTGCCTGTTTGCCATGTTATTACCTTATCCTGCAAAGCCTTGTAACATGCATAAGCATAAGCCTGCATAATTAAATGGCACAAAGAACACATCAAAAGGGGCTAATGGACCACTATAACTTTATGTTTTAATGAAATCCTATCAAAAAAAGGTTTATATACAAATCTGGATATCCAAGAAAGATCATAAACGGGATATGACTAAAAAAATAATTTTGAAATAACTGAGCTCATGGGTTTAAAAATGTTTCATCACATTCCCATATTTCATTCTATCTACACTTACTGTCTGCACTAAATAGCATAATGAACAATTTTTTTAAATTCATTTAATTACCTTTATCTCTACATGCACTAAATGAAATATAACATTGAATGTCATCATATATTTATGATAATGTTGGTGCTTGACTATTTGTTTTCCGGACATTATTTGGTGTAATGAGAACATTACTTTTGTTGGCTTATGCATAGGATGAAGGTTATTAAATTATTCCACCACCTGGCCCACATTATCTCTCACCATGAATGACAGCAAACAGATGGGAAATAATTTTTACTGAAACTATCAGGATAGTAACTCTCTTTGAGACAACAGTGTTAACAGGCTTATGTTAACAGAATAAAAATATACTTTCTATTTTATTTATTTCTTGACATCCCCTTCACATAATGCTTTGTACAATGGAACATTTTTTAAAAAAAGGAAGTGAATCTTGAGACCTTTTAATACATTAAGCATTAATGAATGTTACCATGTGTATTTAAGTAATTTAGTTTTGAAATATTCTATGCACCCAACTATAGGGTTTAAGACTTGAGATCATGCCTTAAAAAAACAAGTTGAAATTTGCAACTTATAGTTTACTAGCATTAAATTTTAAAAAACCTTTAAGTTAACTTTAAAGTTAAATTACTTTCAGTCAAAGCCAATTATCTCATTATTTTGCTGTGGATTTTTAAATTAAAAAACTGTTAACACAATTCTCTTACCGAGGCTGGCCTAAAATGAGAACATTGAGAGTTCCAATGGAGCACAAACATACCAGGATGGAAATAACAACTGGCATGGCCGGGTGGATCATTTGACCAAACAACTGCAAATAAAAGGCACAAGCAAAAATGCATTTATAAATATTTGTAACTTTAAGATGTTTTCTTTTTAATTTTAATAAGCATCTTCAGATTAATTATTGTACAACAGTGAATGAATTAGTAAGAGCTTATTAAGTTAGTAGACATAATATAAGTGGATTAATATAAGTTATGTTATGACATTACATGCTGAATTAAGTTAATAGGTCTGAAGCAACTAACAATATTTTCATAGAATATAGTATATGGAAACTTTCAGAACCTTAAAAGCAGCATTGAGGAGTTTCTGTCAAGTATAACAACAAATATTCATATGCTGAAGGTCCTGTTTCACTTTCATCAACAGAATATTTAATGAAACCGGCAACTAAAATTATCCCTAAAATATTGGCTGAAGAGTTTGCTGTTAGTTCCACTATTGACATTTTTAACGGCTCTGTCACTCTGTTTACATGCCATCATGTAAGTTAATCTCCCCTGTTAGTTTAAAGAAGGGCTAAGAGTGGTAAAGTGATAATGGGCGGTAAAAGAGGTGATGTGGTACTGGGCAGTGGGAGAGGTGATGTGGTACTGGGCAGTGGGAGAAGTGATGTGGTACTGGGCAGTAGGAGAGGTGATGTGGTACTGGGCAGTGGAAGATGTGATTGGTGCTGGCAGTAGAAGAGGTGATAGGTGCTGGGCAGTTAAAGAGTTGATGGTACTGGGCAGTGGGAGAAGTGATGTGGTACTGGGCAGTGGGAGAAGTGATGTGGTACTGGGCAGTAGGAGAGGTGATGTGGTACTGGGCAGTGGAAGATGTGATTAGTGATTGGTGCTGGCAGTAGAAGAGGTGATAGGTGCGGGGCAGTTGAAGAGTTGATGTGGTACTGTCTCATTAAGATGTTTGCAGAGGAGGCAAGTTTTTTGTGTGGCTGTGCCGAGTGATCCAAGTATGTTTGACTGTACATGTGATGTTCCCTGTTTTGCTAGTGTATCTGCGCTCTCCTTTCCCTGTATCTTGTCATGTCCTGGTTACCACTATGAGGTTATCTTGAAAACATATTTTCAAGAAAGTATTATAGTTTCAAAAGTAATTATTTTACTGTTGCAGTTGTAAGGTCATGACGTTCAGCTGCCAGCAGTATTAATTTACTGTTGGGGGAAGATGACAACATTCCTTTGTTTTGTGGGGTAAGGTATGAAAGCTGGACATCATCTGGTGTAGTCCTACTTGATTATGTTTCATTAGTGGTTAGTTATTTTCCGTAATTTGCAATTTTTTTCTTTAATTTGTTTGGACAATAAATAGGGTTAAAGTTTAAATTTTGTCACCATCTTCCCTAAAGGGAATTTTGAAAAATAATCACACATACAAATTCACAAGGGGATAACCAAATGAAAATATTTGTTATCAATTACCATAGCAACCGCATCTGATCTTAGAGCTTCCTCCTTTGATAACACAGTGTAATAGGCAAAGTTGGTGGCAACCATTGCTGTGATCAGTACAACAAAACTGAAAGCCAAGCCCCTTGGCAAGTTTCTGTAAGCAATTATTAACATGATTATTTAAAAGGAAAATCCTTTTTTTTTCTGTTCCTTCCCAGGTGCAAAGTCTTCTGTTTCATTTAATTTTTCAGATTTAAATCATTATAAAATGTATACCATCATCTTAACAGGGATTGGTTGAGTCTCCTAATCCAAAACAGAAGAACTTGTGATGCTGCTGCTGGTTTTTTTTTTGTTTTTTTTTTTTGTGTGAAACAAATTATTGATTCATGACAACTGGAATGTAGGAAACCTTTTTCGATCAATAGGTAAGCAGGAAAGTTAAAAAGTAGACAGGATATTTGTGTTTAGGTTTCTTAAATTAATTCCCAAACAAAAGCCAAGGGCTAAAACTTTTTTTTAAAGTGATGCTGTCAACCATGGACATATTTAAAGATAACATTAATTTTATAGCTGAGCTTTCTTAATGCAGGAATAACATGTGTACATTGTGCAGAGGATAATCCAAAGACCGTAGTAAGCAGACAGCTCAGACCTAAAGCCATTAAAATGTTTCCATATTTGATAAAATTTTTAATGCATTTTCACTTTCTTTAAGATCAATTTAGTCCCTAATAAATTTAAGAAATCTGTCAAATGCATGCAATAATTATGTTGAGCCCAAATAAGTAAGCTTTCATTTTATTAGAAGAAATAGACATTTTTGAAAACATTGTAATTTTTTCAATAAAATAATTAAATATACTTTTTACACCCCCCCCCCCCAAAAAACATTATGTCATTATTCAAATTTTGCATTATAAGCAACTTCAAAAAAGAGTTCAATATTTTTGTGCAGGTGTGTGTGCAACTATCAGGGGCACTAAACTCATAACAATAAATAGAAGAGTATCAACACTTAGTTCAATAACCTACTGAAAATACAAGAATAAGTAAAGTAACAGTTTTTAAAAAATAAATAAAAAATTCTGTTTTCTCTACATGAGATCAGAATCTAAAACAAGGAAGTTTTTATGCATAGGACTACAGGGCCGATAAATGATCTTCACCATAACTGTCCCTGTTGGTACAAGGTGAAAATAAGCAGTGGGGCTGCATGATTTTAGTACTCGTTTCAAGGAAAATATGTGAAATATTGCCACTAAGTTAATAGATTCATCTTTCTCCTCTAGTAAAGCCCAGTAAAGCTCAGCTTTTTCTAGGTTCTATCATTTGTATACCATGAGTTTTTATGAGTTATGTTGTCCTCTTAAATGTGTTAATTTTGTTTAGTGTTAGTTAGTCACATTTTGTTCAACAAAATAGCAAGTTAATTCTTCACAGGCTCCTGGTTATGATGACTATAATTCATTGAGGGAAATAAAGAGGATGGAAAGCAGTGTGAGTTCTTGGCCCGCAGTGATAAAATTAATATTAGTGTTAAAAAAAGTCACAGTGACACAAAATGGACAAATAACTGATAACAGAAAAAAACAACAGAAAAACACACAAAAAGTAGTACAGGCAGAGATTAGGTTACAACAATGACTCATGCTGGTTGTTTGAAACAGCTAGGTCTTCTCTCACAGATTCATGGAAGCTTTGACATGGGCACATCTGAGCAATTATGGTCCATTTTTTTGTCTTTCCTTTTTTTTTTTCCTCTTATTTTTAAAATACTTTTTTTGGTCTCAATTTCTCCATCAACTGAATATTTTTTTTAATTTCTTATTAGTAAATTTTCTTTTTAAAAATCCATTATTAAAAAAGAATAACATAAGAAACTCCTTTTAAAATTATAATTTTTAAGAAAATACCGTCTCAAGATTTAAAGAGTTTACAGTAACGAGTACTTACAGATTTTCAAAGCTGGGTCACCTGTCTTGGTAGTATATAAATAAATAATCTTTCAAGTTTGAGATACGATGTGTACCACTGTTGTTTTAATATAATAGGCATATAAATTTAATCACATTCAATAGGGCTGCCTAAATATGACAGCAGATGACACTATTGTAATGAATATCTTACTGAAATATCTTTTAAATTAGAAGTTTACAGACTGACCCTTGACATACTTGCTACAAGAGCATTTTTAGGCAATAGATCCTTATATTGAAGACATGGATCTATAGGCCGGACCAAGGAAGGTTAATAGTGTGTAAGAAATGTTTTAAGCTAAAGTCAGGCTTTCAGGATATCAAATGGAATCAGAAAGATGAAAAAACTTTAAGTGGAGGAAAAGTCTGATAGATTAATGTTGATTTACTTACTTGAATCCATTTTAAAAAATATCCATATGAAACCTGTGGTTGAGTTAAATTATCGACCAAATTATGTCAACCATAAAAATACAGAATGATAAGTCCATGTCGACATCTGACGCATATTTTTTTAAAAAATATAACAATTTTACAATGTACAGTTCATGGCAAAGCAGATGATGAATAATTATATAAATTTGGTTAGGAAATAGAAATCATATATTTAATCGAAAAAACATCATGCTTCATAACTCACTTTTCTGGTTGCTTCACCTCCTCAGTTAAGATAGTTATAATTGGCCTGTAATCAGGGATGACATAAAGAATTAAAGAAATCTGCAAATTAAATTTAGCCATCTAAAAAATTTAAAACCATCAAACTAGTTGTGTTATGGGCTTTGGTAAAACATAAACAAATAAGATTTGACAACTTACCAACCGCCAAAGCCATAGAAAGCAGCAAATAAAGCTAGAGCGATTTGCCCCACTTGGGAGCTTGTTCCATCCATAAAATGAGACATGTGTTCTTGACCTATATCTGAAAGATTTTATGACAAACTAACTTTTATAATCCTTTGTAATTTTCAGTCATGTCTATTCAACTATGGTGGATATTTTAGATATATTTTTCATATGTTTTTAACAGAACGAGATTGAACACTATGGTATTTCTTATATTTTGATTACTGGTAAACAGCTTGTCGATGAGCCTCCCCATGTGGGGTAAGACCGCTTAGAAAAAAAATTATTTTCGGGGAGAAAAGACAAAGTGAGATTCTTCTGTTTTTATACCATTGGTCATTGCCATGGTCCGGTTGTGTAAACATGTATTGGATGCAGATAACATTAATTGTAAAGAAAATATTAAAAGTATGCTAAGCTTTTAAAAAAATACTGAGTCTGTTTTAATTAGGCCTACACAACTTACTGGAATTAAGTTTTGAGAAATTTAATAGGAATTAGGAACTCGCTGGAAGTCGAAAAGGTGGGAGCTTTTCAACAGCAAGTTACTCTGCTTTACAAAATATTTGGTCATACCCCATACCATTCCTTTTACCATCTGTGTTATCCCCCTTGCCAGAGCCAATATGTGACATCTTCTTAACCTGAATCCAAAATTTCCTAAAATGTGCTTGCACAATTATCACTTAGAAAAAAAACTAAAGTAATTACATTTTAAAATTATGTATACAGTGCATAGAAAAGATAAAAAAACAATAATACAGTAATATAAGTAAAGACCATAAAACTAGTAATTTTAAACTAAAACTATTAGGAGCTCCCTTATTTCACACAAGCTTTTTGTTAACTTCGTAATCAGTTAAAATTCATTACATATTAACAGTGGCGTAGCTAGGGTTGGTGTCACCCGGTGCTGTAAACTCATGGCGTCACCCATCCCCCCACGATGGATTTCTTCTTGTTAACATAAGTCCACAGTATAACAAGGACAAGAAAAAAAAAATTAATTAAAAGTCAGCAGGTAAATTTATTTTAGAACTGTAACAAAGTTAAGCTATAGTTATTTTTACATTAAATTTAATTTATTAAAAAATTTTCTTTCCCGGTCTTTAAAGCTGCAAACCCGTCAATGCCTTCAATTAATAGTAGCGTCAGATCAGAAAGCCTTGACTGTTCCATAGTGGATCGTAAATAGGTCTTAATAAGCCTTAGTTTTGAAAAGCTCCCTTCACATGAAGCCACAAAAACACAGATTGTAAAAAACAATTGAATGCTTAAGGAGAGTACTGGAAGAGATTCTAGGAAGTCTCATTCAGATATGACATGAAATAATGACCATTCCACAACTTTGTGAAATTCAATATCAGCTACCTTTAGGTGTCTTCTAAGTCTTGATATATCTTTTAAAAGTTCATCTTCTGATAACTCATCATAAAAAGAGGTTAATTTAGAAACGGACACCAATGACTCTTCTTCATTTGCTGATAGTAGACTCTAACATATCTGCTAATTCCTTTATTGCTGATGTTCTGATCTGGGATTCAGAAAGAAAGCGAATAATACACATCCGCATCTCCTTACTGTTTTCTTCTCGCAGAGAGAGTCCAGGATCTATTATATATTCTCGTGTCATTCACTTCTTAAACCTTAATCTTCTCTCTAACCAAATTCCACATTGTTTTGATTTTAAAAGTTTCTTTTCAATAGTATGTTCCACCAAGTGACAGCGCCTCGTGCAGAAAAAATTTTAAGACCTCTAAGTTGGTCACATTTGTCAAGAGTAAAGCCTTTAGTCCGCAGATACTGCTGTGTAAGGTTTACATCATTAAGTAGATCAGCCTAAAGGTAAAGGTAGCAGACAAACGTGAAACAGACAGCATGTAGAAGACCTTGTGCTGTATGACAATTGTGCTAAAATTTTATGGGGCAGTGCTAATGAGGAATCTGCGAATATATCTCTATTTTTTTTAGTATTTCTAGGTTTCAATATATTTGATTTCAAAATTTTTACATTTATTTTTTAATAAATTAAAAATAATTTTAAAAGCTATTTGAGAATTTTGTAAAATATTTTGCGAACAAGCTAAAATTTTACTAAATGCGTAAAAAGTCATTTTTAATTTTTTAATTTTTACAGATTCGATGTATGTACTTAGAATCACCCGACAACATTGTATTTGGTATCAATCAATAAAAAGCTTACATAAGTTACCGAACACTTCAATCAGCTTTGAATCATGGTAAAACTGTGTTTTTCTGACCTAATTATAGGATTACCTCAATTTTGACGCATCAACCTTGAACTTTTAATAAAGCATGCTTTTGGATTGTTTACATGTGTGGAAAATTTACGTATGATCACTTATCCTTTCATGGAATTTGGTTGGACAGCGAAGTGTGCTCTGTAAATATGCAATTTTTCAATTGGGTGTCAACCCTAAAATGGTGTCACCGGATGTGGTCTGCACCCCCCTAGCTACGCCACTGCATATTAAACAAAAAATGTTTTCTTTGCAGAAGAAGTGGGGTTGGGGTTGGCCGAAGGCCAACAACAACAAATTTCTATACAGAATTCTGTTGCACATTAAAAAAAAAAAGGACGGGATCAGTATTTTTATTACTGTAGATCAGGATAGGTTCTTGATATCACTTTGGACTTTTTAAAAATGCTCTCTTTGGATTTAAAAGTTACCTGTTGGAACATGTATTAAACCCAGAATGATGATGATGACAAGCGCTATAACCTTACAGGACGTCAGGAATTTCTGGATCAAAGTGATGACTTTCATATGTGTGCAGTTTATAGCAATCACAGAAACTAAGGACATAGAAATAATGTTATTTATTACACACTATTTTTAACTGCCTCAAATTTTTAAAAGCTCTCAAAAGGTTAGAAACAATTATAACATAAAAAGGGGAAAATTAACAAACTTGTCAACTGCTTATTTAAAAAAAAAAAAACTGGAAATAAGCTGCACAAAGACAAAGAAAATGCCCATCAAAATTATTTCAATGCACTTATATTTTAGAGACACTAATAATATTTAAAAAATTAAATAGTTATTCCTATCCTTGACTAATTTAAGAATTTATTGCATCAAAATGGGAGGTTAATTCGGAGAGTCAAAATATTAATGAGCATAGAACAAATTTATTATTTAATACTTAATTAATTGTTAAACATACTTCTTGACACTTACTCATTATCCAGGCAGCCAATAATTTAACTGCTCCATCAGGAGGTGGGCAGTCTTTAAATACAAGGGTCAAGCTATATAGGCTTGTAGTGTAAGCCCCCAAGGCCCATGATGGCGCAGCAATGAATATTAAATAACCCCACATAAACACAAAACCTGGGAGATCGCCAAAAGTTTGATAAATAAAAAAATATGGACCACCAGCCTTGTTAAACATAAGAGCCACTTCCATGACACACAATGCCATGCTTGCTTGCATAAGTCCACCTACTGTCCACATTATCATTGCTAAGCCAGGAGATCCTGAGAAACTTAAAATTGTAGTTGGGGCTATGAAAATACCAGTTCCTCCTATATTTGCTATAAGTATATCAACAATGCCAAAAAATGTTATCGTTCGTTTCAATTCTACTTTTACAGATTTATTTTCCATTGCTTCAATTTTCTTCTCTTCCCCTTTGAGCTGATTAGTATTGAGGCAGCTAAGTTGGTCATTCATCATTTTATTTTCTGTTCTTTCTTCACTTCTTGTCATATCTTAAACTAAGGTTAGCCTCTAGAGTTTGAAGAGATGTATTTTTTTCTTTGTGTTACCAGAAGTAAAAGGTTCAATCTGAAAAAAAGATTGATACAATTTTGTTAATGTTTTTTTTAATAATGAAGCATCCTTTGAATCCAAGCAAAAGTAAAAAATCATCTTAACATTTAAAACATCCTATAAAAAAGAAACAGTCTATGTCAAAGTGGTGACCAAAATTATATATTTAAATTATTAATTTATATTTGTGTGTGTTTTTTTTTAAGCAGGGAATAATATAAAATTAAGGAAGACAGATCAAGTTGTAAAAGCCACAGCCACAGCAATTAATTTTGGACTATATAAATATTTAATTTTAAAATTACTTTAATTAAATTAAAAGTAATATGAAGACCTACCACTACCTTAACATTAATCCATTTTTGAACGAATATTTAAAGGTATATATTATATAGTAGGCAGAAGGGAATACTCTGTAACCTTAAGTCTGTAACTGTAGGCCTAGAAAATTATTTTTTGTTAAAACAATCATGGTCATGGATACTCTCCATTCATTGATTCATAGTAATCATAGGCTTCCTTAATTTCATCAGTTGATGGATGATGGCTGATAATATAATTTGCAGTGTCAGCTGGAGCTTTTTAAATTTATAATTTATATATTATATATCATAATCATAGTATAGTCATATCAATATCAGCATCTATTACTAAATAATACTTATAATTATTAATTAACAATTAATTTAATTGTATAATTATATTATTATTAAATTAAATATTTATAATCAATTTGTATTAAAATGTAGGCTCAACACTGATACTTGATACTGATTGTGATAAATTGAATCCTAAGACTATGTTACTAAGTTCATTACTATAAATCTAAACCACAAACTACACGACCAGCTCCAAATGCAGTATTAGTATTAGGCCTGGCCTCTTTAATAGTATAGCAATTGTATAGGCATAGGCTAGTTACAAACTACAGTGTCTACAGTGGCGTTTCTTTTCTGTTCTCAGTTCAGTAACAATAAGTAATAGTAATAGTAAACGTTAATAAACCGTTGCAGTTTGAAGCTGTTTTTACTCAAATTATGTCATCAGCAATACTTGCACTGGCACTTCACTATGAGTCGCAGAGTCAAAATATGAGGATTAATTTAAATTAGGAGGGCGTTTCAAACATACTTATAAATTAATTTAATCTATACTAGTATACTGACTTTTTTTAGTTTCTACATGGGGGAATGGGGTGGCTAACAACTTATATATTTATTTATTTTTTTTATTTAGTAAAACAGGTGTTTAACTTTAACACGTCATTTATTTAAAATTTAAATTAATGGCAATAATCGTTATAGTTATTTAATTGGGTTACCCGTTGTTGTAATATTAGAAATACAAAGAAGGGATAATCCACATCTATCCGAAAATCTTACTTTTCCTTGGCGACGATTGCGTCGATTGCTAGCCAGATTTTAATTTTATAGAAAAGAAAGCAAACAGACATAAGTAACAATAGTAATTACAAACTAGTAACAGCTATAACAAAAATTGCAATCTAATTTTAGAAACTCATTTTACAAAGTATTATTTTATTAATAGTTGAATAATAATATTAATTCAATTAAAACAAAATAATCAAATATGTATGGCCAAAAAGTAGCATGGAGCATGCGATGTGGCCAATTAAAATATGAGAATAATTACCATGATTGCAACATGATCTAATTAGACCTACTTTAAATTACCCACTTACTAGATGATATTTGTGGCCCGGGGGGGGGGGGTAATAATTGTTTTACTTTGGTTGTAAAATGGTTAAAAAATATATTTTATTTTTACAATTTGAAATAGATTTTTAATTATTTATTTTTTAAAAATAATTAGACCTACTTTAAATTACCCACTTACTAGATGATATTTGTGGCCCGGGGGGGAGGGGTAATAATTGTTTTACTTTGGTTGTAAAATGGTTAAACAATATATTTTATTTTTACAATTTGAAATAGATTCTTAATTAATTATTTTTTAAAAGAAAGATCTATAAATAATTCTAAGTTATAAGAGACAGACCGAGAGAGAGAGAGAGAGAGAGAGAGAGAGAGAGAGAGAGAGAGAGAGAGAGAGAGAGAGAGAGAGAGAGAAAACATGGATAGAGAGAGAGAGAGAGAGAGAGAGAAAACATAGAGAGAGAGAGAGAGAGAGAGAGAGAGAGAGAGAGAGAGAGAGAGAGAGAGAGAGAGAGAGAGAGAGAAGACATGGATTGAAAGAGAGAGAGAGAGAGAGAGAAAACATGGATTGAAAGAGAGAGAGAGAGAGAGAGTTAATCTGTTTAAAAGAAATCTTATATAGGCCAAAGAACACCTAGTGCACAATCTCAGTTTTATAATAGAATTCGGAAAAGAAAAAAGAAGAAAAAAAGAGAAGATGCAGTGGCGTAGGTAAAGTTTGTGATGTCAGCGCCGATCCTTGATTCGTCGCCCCTCACTACCAAAACCACAAAAGTTAAGTATGAACATTAAACAATAGTTATTTGTAGTGGACCAAAACTCCCCCCCCCCCCCCAAAAAAAAAAAAAAAAAACCCCACAACAACCCCCCCCCCCCAAAAAAAAAAAAAAAGTTAGCCCCAGATGAACCTCCCCTTCCACCTCTCTTCCTATGTCAGTGCAGCGATGATCAATAGTATAGCATCGTTCAAACATGTGGCCGTGTGCGTGATACATTGCTCGCTGATTTTTATTGCCTTAGATAGTTGGCGACATGTTGCACATCAATAAGATACGGGTATTTTATCTGTAGAAGTAGGATCTAGGAAAAGCCCAAGAGGGGCGAACACGTCTAAATTTCAGCAATATTCAGATGCGTATTACACTGACTGGGGCAAGATGAAAAACATAGGCATAGGCCTACACACTGAAATAAAATAATAATAAACAAAAATAAACAAATTAGAGCGTTTGGGGATGTTGTAAAAAATAAAGTGTTCCGGATTTTCCTCTAAGAATTAAAAATAAAACATTATTTTTGATTATTTTTGACAGCTTTAAATTTAGGTAAAGGCATAGGCCTAAGCCAGTGGTTCTCAACCTTTCTAGTGCCGCGACCCTTTAATACTGTTTCTCTTGTCGTGGCGACCCCCAAGCCACACAATTATTTTCGTTTCTACTTCATAGCTGTAAGGATATATGTTTTCAGATGGTCTTAGGCGACCCCTGGAAAAGGGTCCCGTGACCCCCAAAGGGGTCACGACCCACAGGTTGAGAACCGCTGGCCTAAGCGAACAAACAAATGATTCCAATTTCAACTATTAAACTTCATTTTTCTCATTTGATTACGTTGTGTGCAATTTGACTCATTTGATCAACAACAGCAAAAAGTATAAATGCTGTCAAAGGAAAAGTGCGTGGCTTACTTGGGCATGTATTCCTACTTCTTTTCTTTTTTTTTTAAACTTATTTTTGTGCCACCTTCTATTTTATTTGATTTGAATGTGGCTTGTTTGTCATGATTAGACTTCATTGGGCCCATATTTCTTTATATTCCTGACATCCTAGAGAGCTGAAATTTCGTATACAGCTGGTACTGCTGTACATTTTGATGCATTTTGTTTGACTATTTAGTTCTCGGACATAAAATTATAGGCCTACTAAAAAATCTCAGAAGCAGATGAAATGTAAGAAGCACGGAAACTCCCTCGAATAAGTGAATACCGTTGCATTTTCAGAAGAAGTGATGAAATTACTAGAGCTAATCGATTAAATAATTAAATTGAAATAAAATTATATTTAAATTCATATCTAATGTAAAGGTGGATAATAAAAAAAAACTATGTTACTCGTTTTTTTAAAGTAAAGGGACGCAATAAAGCAATTTTTGTATATAAAACAATATATTATGTATTACTATGTTAAGCTTTAAAAACATTCAACTCAAGTTTAAATATCTTATTTTTTTTTTTTTTAAAACTGCTACTAGTTACTTGTTTCACGTGAGAAAGATGTTTAGTTACTTTATTATTATTAATATTATGAAGTAATTTTTTTTTTTAAATGTTGCGGTTTACTTTACAGTTTACACTACAGATCCTAAATTTTTTATTTTTTTTTTAAATATATTCAGCTTTTTTTTAAAGCGTATCACAAATTTTAAATTTGTACAGTTTCTTTAGAACCATTTCAGTAAATTAATCAAACTAAAAGATAATTTTTATTATATTTTATTTTAATTAATTAAATCCTATGAAAGATGTTTCTTGGTAAAACTAGTAATATTTTTTTTTCTGTCGCACCGTTTTACAACCAATCAAATGATAGGGTCTGTCATAACTGCTGCTCTAGTAATGTCGCCATTGTTATTTCCGTAAACTCTTCAAAGAGCAACTTTTTCAGACGTTTACAACACCTTGTGAGTTTTAACATTTTATTGATCTGTGTCTAGCAGGTTAATAACTATAACGTGTGTCTATAATTTTAGTCCATGGGATAGCAAAGTATTCATTAGCTATTGTTTGTGTTAATTAATAAAGATTATTAATTACATACAATGATTACAATGCCTCTGACGGCAACGGGCTCCACCAAGTTTGCCCGAAGTTGAAGAGAATTGAAATTAAAAGGAATCATCAGTGACTCATGAATTCTAGTTTCAATTGGACCTAAATAAAAGTCATATGCTTCTAATAACGTATATATAGATCATTTTGTTATAGTTTCATCATTCCTACTCGTGTTTTGTGCCGCAAAGGAAAAAACTCACTTTCAACCAAGAATTGAAAACTATGCGGATGCAGTTGTTACGCATGCTAAGCTAATGCTGTTGTTACGCATGCTAAGCTAATGCTAGGGCTGCAAATTTTGTTTGGGTTAAGGTATGAGAGTATGGGTTTTG